CTAACTACCAGAAGTGTTAACAAGTGTTGTTATATTTTTAAAAATTTTAATCTTCACATAACTCAGTATAAAATACATTATTACTGTAATTAACCCCAGTTGGCAGTTCAGAAAATGATCACATAGGAAGTGAAAGGGCTTGTCAAAGGTCATACAAATAATTAGTGACAGAGTGCTATGCTCTTAGAGCCTGAAGAGTGGTTTGCTAACCTTGGAAATCAGAAAAACTTTCTGTAAAAGAAAGTCTGTGACTGACTCTTATGGAATGAGCAGGAGATAACTGAGTGAGTTCTTAGCAGTAAGTATGCTGTTAGGTGTTGTCAAGACAGCCAATGACCCGTAGCAACCTTATAAACAGCACGTCTGTACTCTTCCTTGGTCTCTGCTATCCTGATCATCCTCAGTATACTTCAGGACCAGAACCCTCTATCTTATCAAGCATGGTATCTTTCCAAGGATACGTCCCTCCTAACAACATGCGCAATGTATGTGAGATGAAGTTTATTCACAGCACTGTGGTTGCACTTTCTCCACAACATATTTATTTGGTCTTTTGATTGTGTACCAGAGTCAGAACTGGCCTTTAGCTGGCCCTCCAGCAAGGTTTCAGAGGAAGTTCATTGCACTAGAGGAGATTGCCCATCCTTCTCCCACAGAGCAGCTAGTGGTTTTGAACCATATGCCTTTGGGACTGCAGTACAGCTTCCTGCCACTAGGCCACCAGAGTTCTAGGACTCTTGATAGTCCATGGTATATTCAATACTCTTCTCCAACCCCACAACTCATAGTCATTGATTCTTCTATCATTCTTATCCAGCGTACATAAAGGAATAAGTTTATGTTGTCGGGAATCCCACCCCATTTGATATCACAAGTTTAAGTTCTTTGTTTCTATGTTTAAGTTCTATGTTTGATTTTATCACTGAGTAATTTAGAACACCATGGAGTAATAATGGCATAAATAATTCATTCCATGAGTAGTAATGGAATAATGAATACAGACGCATTATGTTTATTACAGTCATTTTACTTAAATACAGATAGTAGGCAGCCTGTCTAATACTATACAGTTATTAAGGTGAAGATCTGGAATTTGAATCCTGACTGCTTGGTTTCAGGATTCATGCAAAAACCCACCCCCCTTCATTTGAACTCCATTAGGCTTCTGTGAGTGAATGTAGAATACTCTGATCCTCATTTTATGTTAGGATATGTCAGGAGAATGTCATCTTGCATGTTCATGAAAAGAGAGTGAGAACTGTTAGACAAGAGCCACTCTAAACTTTTTTCCAACTCTGATTGTTCTTGAATCTATGAATCAGTCTTAGGCTCCTATATGTTTTATTTTTTTAAAGTACCAAACTATCATCCTTAGGCTTGACAAAAGTGCTATTATGATTTATGCTCTGCTGCTGTCAGGGGCGTTACTATGGGTGTAGGAGGACACTTAACATTCTATGTTTTAGAACTAGATGACTCATTTTCTTTTAGATTTATCTTCATAGTGGCTTTTCTGAGAACATAATTATGTTTGTGTGGAAAGCAGTGGTAAGCAACAACAGATCAAGCTTCTAGAGTGTAGAAACTCTTGCTTACTCATCTTGATACATACTTCATCCCATGTCTGACACAGTATGTGCCAGCATGGCTGCATAATAAATATTTGAAGACACTGGAGTATGAAACAAAGCCAGAGCCACAAACATGGCTCTTCTAATATGGACCAGTGGGTCTCCGCTTCAATTGTAAATTAGAATTACTAGATATCTAAGGCTCCTTTCGAGACAAGTCATTTCACAAGTCTGAAGTAGATGAAAATTGTTGTCCTTCCACTTCCTGGCTATTCAATTATATAACTTTTATATGAATTATATAACTCCCTATTCAATTATATAACTTTTCCAGGCCATAGTTCCCTTCAAATATAAATAAAGAGAATAACAGATATTGGTATATGGGTTTTTGTAAAGACCAATGAAACAATTCTCTAAAGAGAGGATCAGGGAGCTCTGGTGGCTTGGTAAGAAGCTGCACCTGAATTGGACAATTAAAACAGACATTGGTGGTGTGGGGGGAAGAACGAACTGGGGATGAGGGTGGAGAAAACAGTGCAACAATGAATGAATGAAAACCCAAAATCTCTGTAAATGTTCATTAAAACTAATAAAATTTAATTAAAAAAAAAAAGAAGAAGCTGCACCTGGAAAGTTGTGCTGTTCCAAACTACTAGCTGCTCTGATGGAGAAACATGGTATGCCTCATCATTTGCTACCTATGAAAGTGTCATTTGCTACTTTGAAAATTGCTGGAGGATCAGCTATGAGCTTGTTCTGACTCAATAGCACATAACAACAAAAAGCAGATGTCCACAGATGTCACCTCAGCTATCACTATTCCCATAAACATCACTTTCGAAAAGTAGTTCTAAGAAATATCTGAAGAAAATATTTTTAAGAAGTATTTTTGACAAATATCTATTCTCGAGATGATTCTCAATTCTAGCCAAGGTTAGGAAGTACTCTGTAAAATTTTTTGACTGTTCCTAGATTGAGACATCATAAAAGTCACATCCATGGCTCTTTAAAACAATTCCCCAGTGTCCTGCAATATATGCAAACTAAGAGATGATGGAGGTGCAGTGAAAAATCAGAGGGGGTGGTTGTTTGCAATTAGCAGACAAGCTAGTTCTGTGCTGTTGTGTCCATTCTAGCTGCCTTTATGAAGAAATGGTTATTTCAGTTTGAGTGTTGTTCTTCTAGAATAGACCTTCTCTTTTGGTCCACAGATCTCTTCTTGGGAGTTTAAATATTGTTAGCTACCCACTGATCTCTGTTTGCAACCTTCTCTCTCTCTCTCTCTCTCTCTCTCTCTCTCTCTCTCTCGTCTCTCTCTCACACACACACCCCAAAATACTTCAAATGCTAAATTTAAGATATAAACAAGGCAAATAAGTATTTCACTTGGGATATTTAAATGAATTCTTTCTGGAAATAAAAACAGCCTTACAATCAATAGGAGACTTCAAAAACCACAGGGAAGTTCACAAGTGCCCACCTGAGAAGTATGGACTGTACTTGCGAGTCTTCATATATAAGACCAACTGGTTGCATGGTATCAGCGTTCTCAATTAGAGATTCACATTTCTAGAGTTGTGGATTTCTTTTATTTCTCTTCTAGATCAAACCTTTAATTTCTTAAGGAGGTGGAAACTAACTGGTGGAGCAGAACACGGTGGTTATTTGCTTTGTTCCTGCACCTTTGGGCAGAGTGAACAGTTGCTGAGACAAAAAATAAAATTAAACAAGTCAAGAGAAGGGACCTTTTTGGACACAGATTCTGAAACTTCAGTGGTAATATTGGTCCAGAAAAGGATATATTGCTTTCTTTCTAGGGTAAAGAGAAGAAAAAAAAAAAGAAAGAAACCTTCTTTTAATATGTCCAAGATAACCGCACAATAAATAGGCCTACAGTTTAATCATGCGTTTGTTTATTTACCTCATATAAAAGTCTCTTAAGAATGCATTGGAGCACAATATATAATAATTATATTGTAACATACATTGTGAGAAACTTCTGGAGACAATAAAATGTCCACCTGAAACAATGCAGTGTTCAATAGACGTATAAACCCATAGGTCATGCACATTTGTGCCGTTTTCTTTAACTATTGAGCCACAATGTTGAGCTAAAAGCATGAAACATATTTTACAGACAGACTGACACCAGAGGCCTAAGAAGTGTTATCAGAAGAAGCTTCACATTTGCATAATTGACTACATCAGTTCACATTTTATTTTAAAAATTCACATTGTTGTCTTCTTTCCTTTTTTAATTAATGGGCATATGACATTTATTCAGACCAAAGGCGTTCTCTCCAAAGTCAGTAGTTTGTCTATCCTCTGAGGGGCCATCTTTGAGTAAATGTAGTGTTGCTTTCTAAGCTGAAGCCACAGTTACAGTAAAACCTGTTAGAACTCAGCTCATATGTATATAGGTTAGCTAGAACATGGGTAAAAACCACATTCCTTTGCCCCTACCCCTAACAAACTATACAAAAGTTAGAGATAAGTAGAAACCATTTCGTAATTAATGTGAGAATTCAAGCCAACTCCTAGAGTGTTGCACTGTATTAGCAACTCAAATAGGCAACAGGGCAGACCTTCCAAATAAAAATTTACCAATGTCCTCACTGGCAAGGGGCCTTATGTCTCTTTTAAGTGATGTTCAGGTTACATTACACACAATACAAAATGTTACAAGAAAAGTTCTCAACTCTTATGTAGAGTTTTTGGTTTTGTTTAGAATTTTTTTTTTTTTTACACAAATGTAACACCACCATTGGCAGGCAATGTTAGGATATATAAATTAATAACTTAGAAAACATTACATTATATATACATTAAGTAATAAATACACGGTTATAAACAGGAATGGAGGTGTTAGAGCTGAAGGCAGTGCAAGAGAAAGAGAAAAAGACGGCAGCATTAAATTGAAAACGGCGTAATTGGCTGTGTGAGTGAAGAGAGGTCTTAGGAAACTGAAGAGGGAACGTGCAACAGCCAGGTTAAAATGGCTGAGGACACAATGTGGGAAGTGAATGAAGCTGAGTTTTACACACAGTTATTGTGAATAACACAACTACCCCTTCCCATCCCCTAGTTTGTTCAACTTTATTCTGTTTACAGCAAAAAAAGTGAAATTTTAGAGAAGAGAAAAATATTGTTCAAAGCAGGCAACAGAGCTGAAGGGCAACTGTGGAGCTGGGTTGGATAACCGGGGAAGGAAGTTGGATATGGTTAGAGGTGTATCTTTTCTATTTGTAAAAGTAGTAAAGTGAAAGATATTGCCCAAGAAAGAAGGAAGACCAATTTCTTCACTTGTTTTTTTCTCTGAAAGAATCAAAGGAGCTTATATTAACTTGGAAATGCTTATTCTGTGTAGAATTTGATACTAAACCCTAGGTATTCAACAGGCAGTTTAAAGACGTGAAAATGTTTTACAAAAAAGGCACACAGGTTGGGAGACAATGGGACAGGTGAGCAGATTTAGAAATGAAGTTGTTAGTAAATTCAGTCACTAGAGGGGACAGACTCCCTAAACTTAGTGCTGAAAAATCTCTCAGTTTTGTGTCTTCCATTTTCAAGCCATTTAGTCGCGACCCAAACTGGCGTCCAGTACCACACGAAGCTCCAGCTCCCCACAGAGCTTGCACCCAAGGCAAGTCAACCATGGAATTTCCTGAGCTGTTTGCTTCATGGTCTTTCACTCTGGCTCCAAACTCAAGTAACTGGAAAGGCCAGGTGGCCCCTGTCCGATGCAGGCCTTGGCCCCCGTAGTGGACTGGCCCTACCATACAGCTGGCATGCTTGTTAAGGGTGGAATGTTCATCTCCACACACAGAGGGAGATTATGTGTCAGTCGGAGACTTGTCTTCTGTTCCAATCTCCACCTCGGTCTCTTCCAGCGAATCCCTGTTTTCTGGATCAATCACACAAAGTGTCTTTGTGCTACTGAAATAGTTGTGGCCCTCACCCTCCTTCTCCTGTCCTTCTGAATCCTCTTCTTCAAGGGTCAGTTCAAACTGAAACTTCTCCATCAGACCCTGGCAGTCTCTGTTCCTCTCATCTAGTGGAGGGGAGGGACTCTGGGGGATCATGCTCTGATACCAGTTCCTGTTATCTTCTAAGGTATCCAGAATGTCCTGGGCATCAGGCTGTACCAGATCTGCCCAGGTCTCCCACAGTGGATGGACAATGTAGTCAATGAAACCAACCTATAAAGAAAGAAGGTGATATATCCGTTAGTGTGATGAGTCCTTGTTCACTATGGTACCTAACCTGGTTTCACACAAAGAAAGAGCAATAGTCATGTCAGCAGTAGATTCCATTATTTCACCATCTACTATATAGCAGCCTTGCCTTATCTTTTTAAATCTTTTTTTGATACCAAAAGAGGTATCAGGCATCATTTAAAAAGGAGAGAATAAAGACTCAGTTTCCCAACTGCCTTCTTTAAGGCTACACAGCTAGTAATAGTGGAGCTGGAATCAAATCAGATTCCAAAGTCCGGAATCCTCTCACAACAGCTTGCTTCCCTCCTACCCCTTCTTTGTGCCAGGTAAGAAGTCTGGATGTAACTCACTCTGGGAATAACTTTGTCACTACTTGGATTCTTTCTGTGAGTCAAGCTCAGAAGTAGGACGCCCAGGTTGACCATGTTCTGATTTGACATTCTTTCCTTGATAACTTTTAAATAAGATACTGTTCCAAAATGAATGGAGGCCTGTCAGCCCTGAGCAAGCTAGCGTTTCTTGAGTACTGTGTGATCTATTGGCTTGCAGTCAGGTTTGACAAAATCCTGGAAAATACTTCAAGCCCCTAAGTAAACAGTAGCCTCTCTGTGGGCACATTTGCAATTGTTTGGGGCCTTATAGTGCACACAGCCATTCCCATCAGGAGAAAGAAGGGGCAATACAAACAATTAGGCAGTTCCTTTTACTGCTCTTCCTGTGAACAAACCCGAGGTTTATGGCTCTCTATAGTTTAAACAGGGACTATGCATCCTGCATTAGCTAGCTTTGTGGCCTCATGCTGACCTCTACACTGTCGGACAAACAGGAAACACTGAGGGTGGGGACAGGTAGACAGAAAGAATAGGAGCTAGTTGAATGACAGCATGGAAATCCCCTGTCATGGTCTGGGGTACTGGAGAGACACTAGGCAAGATTCAGAGGGAGGGAAGCAAGGGCAGCTTGTTGGCCCCCAGCAGACACCATACCTGTCTACGCATGGGAAACATTCCTTTACTCTCATTCTGGTATTTAGTCAGTTATTTAATACATACAAATTGTACTACAAAAATTGTATTAAAAATACCAACCAAACAAAGAAAAAACCCTTCAGGCATGTGTAATTATATATACATATTTCTCTGGTGCTTCCCTGGCTTTAACAATTAGAATTCCATCTGAAATCAGGGCATCTCTAATCTGCACTAGTTACAAGAGCAGACCTGAGAACGATGTATTTCTCTTACTTCCACCCATGCTGCTTTCCTCTCTTTTACTTCTTTACATATGCTTAATGGATTTTAGAGATGATTTTCAAGGTGTTTTCCAAGGACTGACTTAGAATAACAAAGGCAAGTCAATGGAGAAAACTGAATGAGCTGAACACACTGCAGTCATTTCCTTTCTTTGTTTTGCTTCTGCTCAGAAACACTCAGCACCTTTCGGAAAGGTAGACACTACTTGCTTATTTACTAGGTCGTGGAATGAGAGAGTTCTATAAAATCCCAAGACCATTCACTCAAGGACTCCGCAATGAGGTTAATCACACCAGGTAATGTTCAGCGGAGTCTTTCTGTAAAAAACACAGGAGTGATGACAGTGTCATGGCAAGAGGAAAACCTGTCTATGATAATGGAGAGTGAGGACAGTACAGTAGGCAGAGGGCAGGTGGCTGGCTAAGGGACTGATGAACAAGACCAGAAAAACAGCTTCTGTTCCTAATACTGAGGAGAGATATCTGCTTTACTTCTCTAACAAAGCTCTTCAAAGGTTCAAATAGGAAACCACCTGGGAAATGTGAAGAAAACCATATAGAACACATGTGTGGAGAAAAAAAAATCAGTGATTAATTAAAAGGTATTGCCTCCTCTCACTTAGGATATTTGAATTAACCCTGATTAACTGAACAGTATGCATTTCTACAGCATTTTCAATTTAGACCACTGTCACAGATTTTAACTTGGTTTGATAGGGTTGGTTCTTTTAAGGAATGACAAAGTAATAATTGTAAAAAAAAAAACAAACCCACAACCAAAAAACAATTTCATTGCCATAGAGTCAAATTCAACTCATGTCAATATTCATTGGGTTTTTAAGGCTGTAAATCCTTACTGGAGGAGAATGCCCATATTTTATGGATCTAGTGGGTTGGAACTGCCCAACATTCAGTTAATAGACCAATACGTAACATACTATACCACTGCCACCAATCCTCTTTAAGTCTTGGAAAGATCTAATAAATTGATGCTTCTATTTGGGCTTTTCAGTTAATGAGGGAAAAAGATAAGTTCTAATAAAAGACACTTCATATAGTTTTTTTTATAAAGATCCTGAACACACAGTATATATATGTGTGTGTGTATGTGTGTGTATATATATATGTATGTATATATATAGTGTGTGTATATGTATGTGTATGTATATGTATATGTGTGTATACACATATGTGTGTATGTATATATATGGTGTGTGTGTGTGTGTGTGTGTGTATACACACAACCACATATTCATTTGGCTCAGATAGTTTTTTGTTCTAAAAAGAAAAAAAGACTATTCACTTAACCTCAAGTCTTTTCTAAAGATTTTGATCTCTTCTAATGCTATAGACTCGGAAGCTATTGGCATCTGTGTATTCCTGTACACTCTGCCTCCAGAGCATTCTTGTCAGTTCTCAGCATAAAGTGAATTTAGAGCTTTGGATACACCAGCCTGCCAAATCAACCAGAAAATGCCAGGACATTTTCAATGGTGTAGAATCAGCCATGGAAGAGACACCAGTCAGGCTTTATACAATGGAGTGAAAGAGATGTGGGGAATAAAATTCAGTATCTATGGTGGTTTTTCCTTATCGGAGGAAGAAAAAAGCAACAGGAAATAAGGATGAGGAATGGAATTGTTGCTTAAAGACAGGCTTAAAAGAATACAGAGGGATTGGATAGAGGAGAAAGTAGCACTCAGTTGAATTAGTTGGATTTCTAAGGTTATAGACTACTTTCTCAGGAAAGGAGAGGGCAATCTTCCATGGGATAGATTGACATAGAGACTGTAACAATGGGCTCAAGCAAATCAGAGCTGATGAGGACAGCACAGGATAAGGCAAAGGTCTCATTCATAGGGTCACTAGGAGTCATAATCAACAACAACAACAACAAACAACTATCTAAACTATGAGAGGATATAGAATAGAAACTTTGACTGGATTTTGCTGCCTGCTTTACAATCCCCTGTGAACTGAAGTGTAATAGAAAGGCAAATGAGTCATGAGTATAATAGAACTGAATGGGCACTTGGTTCCTCATACTTTCATAGATATACATATTCTGCTAAGGGAAAAGAAAGGGGATACAAATGTATAGTTCTGCAAGCCACAAAACTCACAAGAATTTTCAAAATCAAGTATCAGATACCTGTGATTTTTCCACAGAAGCTGTGTGTTTGTCACACATGGGGCTAATCTCCATCCCCCTCTCCCGCTCTTTGTCTCCCTGCTGGAAAAATTCCTCCATAATGCGGTCTGTCCACTGCCGATACAATTCCAATGACTTGGTGGGATTGCTCAGGTCTGCACAGTGTACCATGTTGCGAAGGACCTGAAATGATCAAGTTTTTAAAGTCTCATAAACTTATGTGTAACTACTACCAGAACATTTTCTCCTTCTTGTACTAGTACACTTGGTACCCAAATGAGAACATTTTAATTGAAATGTAACTATGGCACATACACCAAAAAAAAGCAACACTACAAAACTACTGGTTAGCATTTGGCATTTGCCATTGTTGAGTCCCAGAGAGGAAAATGTGTGTCTTTTTAGATCTACAGTCACTGAACCTAAAAACTGGAAGGAACTCTAGAAGTGAGAGGCTGCTATCATTTCTTTCCCTCAGTTTGGAAAGAATGCAAAGAATTATTCAAAGGAGATGCCTGCATATTTTCCACTTGTGGAAAGAAGAGACCAGCTGATGGCAATTTGTATAACCAAAACAGACCCTAATAAACTTCCAGCCAATAGGATTTATGTCCAAACACAAGCTTTTGGCCCAACAGTCACGTATGCCCTGTTACAAATCATTCTTGCCATCTATTTTTAGAATCAAACGATTCGATGAATAGGGTTGTTTTACTTCAATAAATTAAAGAATAAATTTGAATGTCCATTACCCTTTATGTTCTTAAAATAAACCCAAAGCTTGTTGTGGTAACCCAGGCCAGGCAACTAAAATAACCTGTTTTCTTCTTTAGTTGTGGCTTGGTTTGTTTTGCTTTGTGTAAACTCAAAAGCTTGCTTTAAATACCTGTATGCGGTCAGTATAGTTATCCAGGAGAAGGACGCCTGAACTTGTAACTTTCTTTGTTTCCACCATTGTCTTCAGGTCAGCCAACAGGCTCATATGCTTGGACATATCAGTTGCTAAGACCTTGGGTAAAAAGGATATGAAAACTCTTTAACAAACTAAATCTACCAGACAAAGTTGGAATTCATTGTCCTATGAGGGAAAAAGTAAGTGAGGAACAGTGAAAAGTGGAGATCTTACCATGTCAATGACCATTTTCCTAAGTGTCTGACGCTGCTTTTTGCTGAGATTCTGGAAGATGTCACAGTGCTCTTCTTGTAGCAATTTGAAGCCAACGGCAAGGTGATGGTTTTCCAAGACAGATTCATCATTATACATCAAGGCAAGC